GTAAATTACCATGCATATTACGGTAAAAACTGGTTACCTGCTGGTAAAATACCGTGCGTACTACGTTGAAAACTGGTTACCTATTGGTAAAACGATAAGTAGAGAACAACCGTGCATATTACGGTAAAAAAAACTGGACACCTATTGGTAAATCACCATGCGTATTACGGTAAAAACTGGTTACCTGCTGGTAATATACCGTGTGTATTACGGTGAAAACTGGATACATATTGGTAAAATACCCTGCGTATAACGGTAAAAAACTGGTTACCTATTGGTGAAATATCGTGCGTATTACGGTAAAAACTGGTTACCTGCTGGTAAAATACCGTGTGTATTACGGTGAAAACTGGATACCTATTGGTAAAATGGTAGGTAGAGAACAAACCTGCGTATTACGGTAAAAACTGGTTACCTATTGGTAAATTACCATGCGTATTACGGTAAAAACTGGTTACCTATTGGTAAAATACCGTGCGTATTACAGTGAAAACTGGTTGCCTATTGGTAAAATACCGTGCGTATCACGGTGAAAACTGGTTACCTATTGGTAAAATGATAGTTAGAGTATCATCGAGCATTAAAGCCTAGTGTGTTTGAAACTATTTTCATGTCAACATCTATTACATGACGGTATTTAAAAAAAATCTGTTTCTTTTAGAATGATTGTAATGATACTGAGTTTTGAATTAAAAAAGAAATGCAATTCATTCAATTCAGCTGGTACATATCACACAAATTCATAAAAATGTGCATAACTTATAAAAACCATTAATGGACAGGCACTGATTTATTTCGAGGAATTAATCACTAAGTGACAACTTGCGAATGGTACACCCACAAGCACAAACTCACGCGTACATGTTTATGTTGCACTTCATACCCCATGTGGTATGCGTTATGAGTATCTTCGACTACCGGGAAAGTGCCAGGGTTATGGACAGCTTTCATATTGTTTTGATCTGTAGTCTTCCGTCAAATATGACTGTTATATACTGTTTTAGGAGATTGTTTATACTTTAAATGACTAAGAACTGCATCACCAAACAAAATTTGGTTACAGTTGAGATGAATAAAAAATTACACAAAACAAAAGATCTATTGCTCGCAACTCGAAGTTTGGTTAACTTTTAATTATAGTTCGTGTTATTAAATATAGACGGTCAACAACAAATATATGTATATTACCCGTAACTCGAAGTTCTATTACTAGTAATTGAACATCTAGTTACAATTTGAGGTTGTGTCACAAAAGTGGGCATGGTTTCTAAAAAATGGGCGTAACTCGATGTTCGTCCCTGAATGTTTGTAACTAGATTTAGAAGTTACTTCATATCCGGTATTTGTTTTTGGTTTTCAAATTATCTTTGTTAATGGACATAGAACCAAGGCGATCGTGATCTCACTGGTCAGCGAGCAGTCAAAACCTGTAAATTTCACTGTTACGAGATTGAACTATGTTTATTTACAATTATGAATGTAATAGCAGTGCCTGATTGTAATTCCGAGACAGACTACGGGTAGCTAGCATTTGCGACTGCGCAGTACTGTCACGTGTTGTCCAAAGTTTGAACCAATCACACGAATCACGTTATTTCCGGGTTAATTAAAACATGGCGGCTCATTACACCAGCTGTGGTAGTTGCGATCGGTTGCACGTGTCGCACGGTAAGCCTTCATTAGCCGGTGAAACTATGGGTACGTGTAACTCGACACAGTTAACAGGCGCACTGTCGATCAGAGATGACGAAAACAGTCACGATACCCGATGATGAAGTTGTAGACGATACCACTACAACTAGTACGCTCACTACAGAATCGTACGAGAAAAGCTGCATTGAAAAGAAACTTGATTTTTTAAAACTCGCCGTAAATATGAGTGTTGCTGCTGCTGTGTTCTATGGTATATGCTCTGGGTCAATGCCGTTCATTAATAAAATTGTGGTGACAACGTATGACTTCCGGCATCCGAATTTCATTATGCTTGGCCAGATGATTTTTACCGCATCGCTGTTGGAAATGTTACGGAAATACGGCATTGTGGACGTACCGCCATACAGCATAGCACTTGGAAAAGACGTTCTCATCGCTTCTGTCTGCTACACATTCCATTCCGTTTTTGCCCTGAGTGCCCTTGGTGATATGAATATACCGATGTACAACGTTATTAAGCGATGTGTTCCTCTAGTGAATCTGATTCTGGCGCCAATTATTTTAAAGAAGGGCAGACCGTCATTATGCATGGTGTGTTCCGTTACCCTGATTACCGCTGGATGCATTGTAGCCGGTCAGTTCACAATCAATTCTTATTACTCTAAAATTTTGTATTGCATGGGAGGCTGTCCATGTGACTCCGCTATGTAAGGTAATCCATGAATGAGTGACGGTAGTGTGAGTGTAAATGTCAGTAACATTGTATTTGTCACCAAACATTAACAATAAACAGAGGAATATGATGCAATTTCAGAGCCTACTCATAATTTTAGAGAAAATTAGAAAAATGGCATAAAATACAAATACAGCTACAGAGTGTCAGTGAATATATATTATGTATATTACCTTTTTTATTATATCCCTTTATGAACTCATAAGAATGCAAAATACGAACATGTTGCTGTACTACAATCTGTAGCTCAAGCATTATTCATCAAAATCCCATGAAGGTTATTACTTCAATAAAGATTATCATGATTAATAATTTTCAATTATCAGTTTACAAAAGGGGCATTTAGTTTTAAAAAAATGTGCTGTGAACACGCTGTAATATTGGATGAGGAGCGAGTGTGTTAACTACACTATTTATGACAGAATATATTGATTCTGACTCTAACATATGGTAATGTGTGTGTGTGTGGGGGGTAATGGTTTATTATTGTATGTTACTTGTGTTTTTAGTCTGTTGGGGAAGGGGGACGGGTACAACAAATGTTGTTTATGTCCAAAACCTAGATGGTACATAGTATACAATACAGATGCCTACTACTCTACACACATGCCTACTAGTCTACACTGTGACACATTGATGTCACACTGATCAATTTTTATATGAGCTGATTCAGTTGTATTTGCATTTATTTTTATTGAGTTCAGCAGATTTAATACAAATTTAGAGTAGTTGGACTGTTTATCAACTTCAGTGACAGCTGCTTCCTTTATGGGGGAAAAATAATTGATAAATCTTCATTGATAGTCAATTTGTACCAAAAGTAGCAAAAGATGGTTAGATACTTGGGTCAAATTTTTCAATTGCCTTTGAATTCATGTTCTGTCGTCTACTGCGACAAACAATTTATTTAATTTTTCATTTTACTGATATGTTTTTGACCATATTTTCTTGTAAGTTGCACAAAACATGGCCAGACCATCGGTTAAAAAATGTACTATCTAGATTGTCATTGCTCCGGCGGTCGGAATATGCAGTTGATTGCCAAAACCGGGCAGAAATTATTTGGGGGAAATGGAGTGGGGCTGCTACGATTGATACAATGTGTGTGAATAGAACACAAAAATACAACTGCAATTTTAAATTTCTTCGTCATAAAAATTTATTTGAATGAACTATTGCATACTTTATTTGCAGTAACATTTAGATTGACTGCAGCATTATTACTTTCACTCGCAACTCAAATTTGTAAAGTGTGAGAAGCACACTTTTTGCAGTTTGGCAATACTTCATATTCTCGACGGTTTTAGTGATAATTTGTTTTTGCCATATAGATACATTTTCTCTCAAATTTATGTTGACCTTTCATAATTCTCACCACTTATTAGTGGGAATCTCATCATTAAACTGTTTTATTTCAAAATTCCACACTCCCACCACGTCGAAAAATATCAGTTATTAGCGAGGATGATATTGAGTGTAGATGAGATGAAACTGCTCTAGTATAAATTTTTTTGTAATTCATACTTTTCAGTGTAGCAATACTCTACGGGCAATCTCCCTGTACATTATATTTTGCCAACCAATTCATGTACACACAATAAATTAATAGAAAATTACTAGTACATTTTTTATTTACAAAAGAGATTCCACACCATTTTACAAATTTTTTTATTGAATATGTTTTTATTTCCAACAAATGTACACTTCCTCCTGCATCTTTGCCAGCCAAAGTTCATTTATTCAGTCATCACTTCAATTTAACATCAAACACTGAGCATAATTATCTAGAATGGAAGCAAACAAATAAGTAAATCATAATGATTAGAACACTGTAAACAGCTATAGTAAATAATGCAACAATTAAATCCCAAACTGATTTTAAATTGTTTAACTGTCACAGACACACTGTGTCCTCACTGAATATTGGAGCAAGAAAATATTTCCTGATCAATTGCGATGTGTTCCAAATAAGAAATATTTCATTTCTGCTCAGTTACTTTATTAAAAAGTTATTGTACATTATGTTGATACATTTTGATGAATATCTACAGCTATTGCTACGATGTCGTAGACGATTTTGGCCCGATTTTCTCCAGGGCAAAAGGCCGAAAAAAGTTCCCAGTCGAACCAGTTGAAACAAATTGTCACTCCAGGAATAACTACACAGACAGAATAACAACCTAAACTAGAATCATTTAAGCCACAATATAATCATAAAAATCATAGATGATTTTTGTTGCATTTGACAATAATAATAAACTTACCGAAAAGCTATGTTTTTCGTTTTTGACGCTAACTTTGTATAATCCGCAATTTCATTTGAGTGTGTTTATGACCAAACTCCTAACAATGGTGGCACTTTCATTTCAGTTCCACTCATTCTGGCTTTCACCACTGACACATATGTTTTGTAATTTGCATAAAAAATTTCACATTTTATTCAAATAAAGAATATATGCATATAACATTTATGACTTTCTACAAAATAAATATGCTGATGTTCATAAACATGAAAGCATGCAACAACAAATGTCTTTAGTTGTATACATGTCTGTTTTCTTTCATCCAAACTGCTTACACTAATCTCATGAAATCGTGAGATTCAGATGAAGAGGAAAATTCACGTGATAGCAAATATTCGAAGTTCATATACAAAAACGAAAAAAAATATTTTAAAATTCAAACTCCTTTGATTACGTTCTATACTTTGATATGCAAATACGATGTGGCAGTGGTCAAAACCCAAACGAGAGGAACGTAAGTGAGAGTGCAACCAGTGTTTGGAGTGTTATTTATGACCTGACTCTGTGATTCATTGACTAAACCAGTCAGAGGAGGTCTCATTGAAATTTCGTTACATAGGCATTTGTTCAGATGTATGTGGTGATAGTTTAACAAAATATTGAATCACAAGCATATATTTGAAAACATAAAAAAGACAAACAAAATAATATAAAAAAATAGTAAAAGTAAAATAAATGTATAAAATAACATAAAATTCATGCCGTACAATACATCAGATTTTAATCAGATTGTCTCTCATCAGCCCTCATTTATAATTAATTAATTTGCATTTTAACATGCTAAATGCAAATTATATAATTGTTTAAATATAATGACGGAATACTGTTAGCATACAATGTAAATATCATGTAACAATTTGACAAAAATAAATTTATGCAGTCTCATTGTGAAAAATACTAATGTGTCAAATTGTTGCACAATTTTTCCATTGGCCACTATTTTAGTTAAGCTGGAAATACTTTTAAAAGCACAGTATCACAATTTAATAACTGATGTAGATGAACAGCTGTTGTGCAGACTAATCCAATGTGAATGGTGTGTTCCATACCATATTCTTTGTGATACAGTGGATATAGGTACTATTGAAATGCTTCACATCTGTAGACATAGTTTTGCCATATCATATTGCCTTTGTTTAAACATGGTGTGTGGCATAATTGTTAGAGTGTTTGCCTAGCATCAGAAAGCTAGCAGATTTGTCTCTCATAGTAGGCTGCTCACCGGTTTTGTCTTCCATAGTAGGCTGCTCACCGGGCTTTGTCTCCCATAGTAGGCTGCTCACCAGGTTTGTGTCCCATAGTAGGTTGCTCACTGGGGTTGTCTCGTATAGTAGGCTGCTCGCCAGGTTTGTCTCCCATAGTAGGTTGCTCACTGGGGTTGTCTCCTATAGTAGGCTGCTCACTGGGGTTGTCTCTTATAGTAGGCTGCTCACCAGGTTTGTCTTCCATAATAGGTTGCTCACTGGGGTTGTCTCCTATAGTAGGCTGATCACCAGGTTTGTTTCCCATAGTAGGCTGCTCACCGGATTTGTTTCCTATAGTAGGCTCCTCACTGGGTTTGTGTCCCATAGCAGGTTGCTCACTGGGGTTGTCTCCTATAGTAGGCTGCTAACTGGTTTAGTCTTCCATAGTAGGCTGCTCACTGGGTTTGTCTCTCATAGTAGGCTGCTCACTGGGTTTGTCTCCCATAGTAGGCTGCTCACCGGGTTTGTCCCCATAGTAGCTGCTCACCTTGTTTGTCCCCATAGTAGCTGCTCACTGGGTTTGTCTTTCATATTAGCGGCTCACTGGGTTTGTCTCCCATAGTAGCTGCTCACCGGGTTTGTCCCCATAGTAGCTGCTCACCTTGTTTGTCCCCATAGTAG